AGAAGGGGGCGGGCGAGGCGCGGCTTAGGCGCGGGATTGGGCGGAGCTCACGGGCTCGCGGTCTCGGGTTCGAATAAGCTCGATTGGACGAAAAAAAAAAATAATATTACAATAATTTAAATTTAAATATTTTAAAATAGTGATTAATAATTAAAATAAAATACCACAATTATAATATATATGATAAATACAATTAGGCACATAAAATCATTTAGACATTTAGACAATTAATTTTCAATAATAATAATAGCCACAATTAATGATAAAAATAATAATAATAACAATAATCCAAAATTATTCATAAATGAACGGGGCGTCACATGCTGTGCCTTCTTCGGATAACGGTTAGCAAAGTGTCCGGGCTCATGACAGTAGTAGAATATATCCTGGCCGAAGCGACACTCGCCTCGGTGAAGACGTCCGCACGTGGGGCACTGTGGAACCTGCTGCTACCTCTGGCGAGTCCTCCTGTCGGTCTGTGCGCCCTTCCCCTTCCTCTTCTTCTCCTTCGTTGGCTGAGCAGCTGGTAGGGCTGGTGGAGCTGTGGATGACTGGGCGGAGGTGGATGATTGAGGACGATCGTGGCTTGCCTCCCTCCGAATGCTGGCGTCCACCTCCTGGGCAATAGAAACAGCACGAGCGTACGTATGGGTCCCGTGACCTACAATGTTGTGACGGACTGCTGGGTAAAGTCCGTCAATGAAGCGTTGTGCTCTCTGGGCCTCCGTACGAACCAAATCAGGAACAAAAGCTGCAAGTCTGGTAAATTCTCTCCCGTACTCGTCAACAGATCGAGTACCCTGTTTTAGCGCCAGGAATTGCCGCTCCATCTCTGCTCTGTAATAGGTGGGGTAGTACTTCTCGCGGATCAGCTCCTTGAGCCTATCCCATGTACAACCCTCCTTCTCACCGGGATGCATGCTCCAGTAGGCATTCCACCAGAGTCGGGCATCGCCGGTTAACTGAATTTGAGCGCATATAACGCGATGTCTGTCTGGACATTCCATGACCTCGAAGATCAACTCAAGGCCCTGGATCCACTCGTCCACGATACGGGGATCTCCCTGTCCGGAGAATTTCTTAGCATGATAGTCGCGAAACTATGCGACTATAGTGGCCTGAGGAAGAACCGGGTGATCAGGTTCCCTACGTGGCGGCATCTGAACATTGAGCAAGTTCAACATTATTGAACACATGAAAAATATATTCTGACTGATTTCTAAAGTACACAGATCTCTTGACGAGTTGCCAAAAATGGCCGGAAAATATTGATATAGATCCTGAAGACGTCTAGAGTTATATCTGAGTACACTGAATTCTAAAGTCTGATCCTGATTCGAGCATCTTAACTAAGTCATGATTTAATAATTTCTGAGCATAGGCAAAGTAATATGTTTATAACTGAAAACATAAATCAGCACTCACCTGTAGTCGGCGAGGCGTGAGCGTGACGGTTCAGGTTTTTCTAAAAATTTCTGACTTATAAAACTTTTCAGAGACGCAGAAACGTGCTCTGATACCAATTGTAACACCCCGCTATTTTACTGAAATCAGAGTACGCTTTTTCGCAAATTTTCTGAATAAATTTAATAAAATATTATTTTGCGAAAACTGATTCGGAGTGTTACCGTAAAAATTTGGCTTTAATCTGAAAAATCGTTAATTTTAAACTGATAATTAAAAACGGTTATATAATGTATTAACCGACTAACGTCGGATCAAAAACTGAGTTTAAGTACTGAAAATTTTAGCGGAAATGTAGCGTGGTCAAAACATAATATATACATCATAACAAATATCCTGAACATCCCGTCAGCTCACTCCTCGTCCCCGACTCTACCACCTGAAAAACATGAAATACGTGGGGGCGCGAGCACTAAAACACTGTGCTCCGCAGAAACTCATACTAAAGTAAAACAGTGAAAATAATAACAATATCATGATCCTGGCATATATAACTGAACTGAAACTGAAACTGATAACTGATATCTGATACCGGTCTGAATAATATGATACTGATTTCGTGACATAAGTCACCTGTCTGAACTGAACATCTGCCGACAAAACCGGACACCATGTGCACACTCTAGTGGGCAGATTAAGGCCACTAGAACCCAGCATGGACCGGCGACCATTCCGAGCGGATATTGATAATACATACCTCAAACATGGTAGCGATATTATAATCAATGTAGTACTTAGTCTGAGTCCCCACCTGAACTGCTGAAAATGAAGGTAGTGCTGATGCCTGATCAAACTGAAAAATAATATAAACAATTACTAAGGACTATGCTCAGACTGATAAATTAACTGATTAATTATGTTAAGATGCTCTATTAGACTCAACATGATATTCGGACCTTATCGGTATAACTGGAACCGATTAAGTACGGAACTGAACTGATATAATTTTATTGAACTGAACTGGATCCAGAATTTTAACTGAAAATGATACTGAAATCATGAACTGGGACTAAAACAACAAAATATAGGCTGAACCGGTTCAGCCGGTCTGAACTGGACTGAACCAGTCTAGACCGGACCGCCGGTCTGCTGAACCGGTCCGTCGGGCGCTGACTCGGCCAGCGGCCTGCCGAGGCT